TTTAAAAAAAAAAAAAAAAAAAAAAAAAAAAAAAAAAAAAAAAAAAAGAAAGAAAGAGAGATAGCAATATAACAAAACTATACAAGGAATAGACCAAAATAATTAATGGGAAAGTGTTGAGAATGAACTCTCTTAGAAGTTTGAGGAAACAGAGCTCACCGATTCTTGCATTTAAAGTCCGGATTCGAACTCCTAGAAATCTAACTGGCAAGGAAAGGAAGGACACAGATGATAGAAGATCAAAATGGGTGGAACACACGTTTCACATATTTAAGGCCACTTTATACCTTCTCTTTAGACTATGGTACAGTCCCTTCCCAAGGCACTCTCTAAATGGATTGAATAGATTACCAACAACGCTCACTCTCTCTGTCTGTGTGAAATGTAAATACTCAAAAATCTCACCTTTTGACCACCAACAGAATAAAAAATAAGATAACTTCTCAACACGGCAATATATGATAATCTAGAAGTAGAAACTTGTGAGGTACTTAATACCCATAGGTGACTGTTCAAAAAGTTGGAAACCAATTGTCACTCCACTAATTCCAAGGGCCTTTGCATATCTACTGAAATGTCAATCCTCATGTGAAGTATAGCCCACAATTAAAATATTTTAAAAACTAAAAAAATTATTCATATGAAAATTGCATTCAATAGAATCGCTCATATACAAAATTTTTATATAAACAAACAGACGGAAAGAAAAATGAAACCATAAACATGTTATCATTTTCAGGGACAAAATTTTAAAAAGAACAAACCAGGAAAAAGCTTAGTTGCATACAGGAAACTAGAGAAAAAGAAACCAGAGTATTAAAAGCGATCACCTTTCTGTTTTCAATCCAAAAAATAAAAAATAAAATTATCGCCTTCACAGAGGCCCACAAGGCAGATCAAAGTATAAGGTGCAGTAACGTACATCTCTGTTGAAAGTTGTGGCTGGAGCCCGGGCAGGTAAGGGCTACCAATATCTGAGAGATGATTATCCTTCTCCAAAAGGACATAAGTTCAAGGTTCTTGATAGAAAGATTACTCCTCAGTGTCTATTGGAGACAGCCTCAAGGTATACAACTCCTCTCCATGGATGATATAAGTAGGGGCTGGACACCCAGGTAACTAGAAAATTGTGTGGTTGGAGCCAGGAGTTGTGCACAAACTACAATTGTTTACAATTATAAATATATGTTATCTTTGGCAAGCCTATATCATTGCTCTAGCCTCCACCTCTTATAAAATCCATGTTTCAATCCACAATTTCAAGCACCATAAACTAAAGAATTAGAAGTATAACCCTGAACTCCACACAACTAAATGTACTAAATCCAGAACTCCTAGACAGCTAGATTCCAACTACAAGTCGCATAGGCTAATGAATCACTTGATCTACATTTTGTAACCTCGCACCAATACCGAAAGTTACAGTTTTTTTGGTCAATTAACAAAATTCAATGATAGTATTTAATGATTGGAGAAGGAAGATACTAATGGACAAAATCAACCATGACCGTAAAAGTTGCTTCCAAAGCACTAATCTAAAGATAATTCCGATGTGTGTTAAGAATTAATGAAGAGGGTAAACCAACTGAATGGCTTACCCTACTTGTATTTCTAAACCCTCTTGCAGTTGACCTTCAAAAAAAAATAGTAACAAAGAACTAATAATATACTTGATAGACATTAACCTGGCAATTTGACATATGAACAAGAGCACAAAGGAAGTCAAGGAAAAACAAGGTTTCCAGACATCATTATGGTTACCAAATACAAAGATCACTTATTCAGTTAACAACAGGAAACTTCGTCTACTAGATAATTAACATAACTAAACCCCAAGAAAAAAAGGAAATCACCAATCCACCTCCAATGTGAGGATCCCTGTCAAAAGAAAGAGAGACTAAATCCCACAAGGTGTGCAGGGAACACAACCAAGCCTGTCTAATTCTTAGAACTTCATCCTTGAAGCTGCTAACTAAAATGTATAAGCAAATCTGCACTTACACACCAAAAAGAACTGCAATGTAGATTCACAATTCAAAAAATATATATCTAATCTTCAACGTTCCAAGTAATCAAAATCAAAATGAAAAATAAATATCACATCTGGAATGTGCAGAAAGGCATATACAGAGAAATATATATAATATGAAACTAAAAGTAGCATATTGCATCAACAGGCTAAGTTAATCGGTCTAGTTCAAGTACAGCATGAAAACTGTTAATAAGCAAATCTCCAAAAATTTCTATCACAAAGCAACACTTTAGATCCAAACCTAATTATCAATGCTTTGTGATTTGAACCTCAAGCCCTCCACAAGAAACATCTTAGCAGGACATAATTCATCAGTCTATCTATGTCCTTGAGCCCGTTGCATGTCATATGCACCCCAGGGAACAGATCCAGGTCCATATGGAGGATAACCATCGGTACCAGACTGCACCTATGATTTACAGCAAAACATAATACACCATTCAAAAGAACGAAAAATATAGGAATCAAGGAAGAGACATAGAAGAATGGTACATGAGAAGTATAGCAAAGACCCCTAAAAGCCAACATGCTTGCACAGAATTGCAAACGATCCAAAAAGGCTTTGGGTGTATATGTCAACTTTGTTTTATGACAACCTTGTTTTATTGAAACCTAGCTTGTTTTGTTTTATAGGAGCACATGCTCGTAATTATCTTAGGTTGTACTTTTTCTTTGTTTGTCCTTGGTTGGTTTGGCAGATATTTTAAATGTGCAAGGCAATTGAGGTGTAAAGCCTAAGACAAGGTGGGAGGGAAATGAGGGGAGTCTAAGAAGCACGGACACGGATATGGAATACATAACATGAACACGGAAACAACACGACACAAACACAGTGACACGCCAATTTCTGAAAAATGTAGGACATGGATATGTTGAGGACACGTTATTTTTTTAAACAAAAGAAAGATAATATTAAAAGATCAAACCCAAAAAGTTTTTTACTAACTATTAAAATAATTAAAACAAAAAGAACCATGAACGAAAATTTAAATAGCCATTGAATGTAGTGGTACATAAAACCCAAGAAGTTACTGCCTAGTGCCCACTAAAATTCCACAAAGACAAGGGCCAACAGCTTACTAAAAACCAACAAACTAAATTTTATTAAAAGAACCAACAGCCCATTTAAAAGAAAAAACCCTAAATAATGTCCCCCCTTCACCCCCATTCTACTCTCCTCCCTCCACAGTTGTTTGGTTTGATCTCCTTCCCTTCATCGCCACATTGTCGCTGCCTCTGACCAACATCACCATTCTGACTAACATTGTCATCGAATGCCACTCTCCAATGATATTGCCAATTTGAACGGTTTGTGTTTTGTATGTGTTTGTGTGTGTCCATCACATGTCTGAAATTTTAAAACTTAAAATAAAAAAAAGACATGGATTTTCGTGTGTCCAGTTGTATCCATGTCCAACACAAACACTAGTAAAAAAACAATGTGTACATGCTTCCTATGGGAGAAGAAACGGTTGTGAGGCATGGCACAAAATTTATAAATTATATTAACCTAAAATTTTGAAAGTTTAATAGAATGAAGCATGAATTAAAAAAATAACGTGAATTGCTGTCTTATTTGCAAATAATAGAAGCATATGCTTGTAATCATCTTTGGTTTTGCTTTTGTTTCTTTGTCCCTGGTTGGGATTGGCAGAGGGAAACGGGGAGAGGAACAGGGTTGTGATGTGTGGCACAAAATATCTAAATAATATTAACCTAATATATATAAATAGTGTCTAAATTGACTATTACAGTTTGTGTCTTCTTAACAAAATTAACTTTAGGTATGAATTACTGTTTACCGATTTGTGAAATATCTGAAGTTTCTGAAAATTATCCAAATTTTCATTGTTTTCATAATTTGTTTCCAAAAATATTCATCCACCTTCCCCAAAAGCTGAATCATAGACTTTGTTTATCCACGCTATAACCTTTTTTCTTGCTGAAATGTACTGCACATAGCAGTGTATTCATACAACCTAAAGCAAAAGTAATAAACAAAGTGGATATGTCCTGCACATAGCAGTGTATTCATACAACCTAAAGCAAAAGTAATAAACAGAGTGAAAACTTACGGAGTTCAAGCCATAACTCGAAGAATATGGATTTCCCGCATATCCAGCATCAGCATTGCCATAATTTGTACCGTACCCAGCAGCTAGACAAATTATTACCACGATCAGAGAGAACATAGAACAATGTGATCTATAGAACATTTTCAAATTAACGAAATATTTTGCACAAAGCTAAACAATGTGATCTATAGGGTTTTCCTTTGGTTTCTTTGGGGCGAGAGGAAAGGCAAAATACCCTGAGAATCTTTCTTTGCCTTTGATAATTTTATGAATTTAATTCTCTTTCATACGACGTCCTGTTGTAAGTGAAAACACCAATTCTTTATTAAAGTAGTTTTTCTTCGTTGATTTCTAATTGGAGAGCTTTCTTGTAATTCACCGTTAGGTTTTAGGTGTTAGGTGTTCTTAATCCATTAATTTCATTCATCGATGAAATTTTCTCTCTTCAAAAAAAAAAAAGGCCTTTTTTCCCATCATATTTGAAATTCATCTCCAGACAAATAACAGCTTGCCAGGACATGAATATGGATGAGGGGGTTTGATGTAAGCCAAACACGTGTCTGCAACAATATTATATCCAGCATCAAGTTGTGGGGAAATAACATTGATGGTAGAGAGTATTTCAATTATTCAGTACGCAATGTCCAGCAGTTTCAAAATCTAATTATATAATAGTGTCTCACTTCAACAATCAACTGTTCTTCACAGAGATTACTCAGCCATGCATCTAGATACAAGGGGGAGGCTAAGTAAATGACATGTGAATACCATGGTTAACTTCTAAATGGTACGCATCAAATTGAATTGCAACTATTCTTTTGTCTTTGTTCACATGTGAGGAGTTTCTTTAAACTACAATTTTCTTCAATATGATCTTAGATTAAAACAGAGTACCCATTTGGAACTCAAAAGAATGTGCATACCAGCATTTCCAACAGCAGCAGCAGAAGCATGAGCTCTCTTCTCTGCATTAGCAACCTCAGCTCTAAGTTTCTCCAACTCCCGAGCCATTGAAACCAGTTTCTTCTCCATAACCTGACCGTGCTCATAATTCTCCGCATATCCCTTCTTTTCATACTCAATTGCAACTCTTGATATGCAAAATATATACACGCTAATCAGAATTACAAAATATCTAAAAAAAACAACTTATATCACCATTGAAGTTAAGAATACCCTAAAATACCTAGCACGATGTAATTCCTGCTTCACAGTTTCAATTTCTGCCTTCAAAGCAGGGACCTGCTGCAAATCTGCAGTCATTCTAGTTAGATCCTGTGACATTGCTTGTACTTGACCAGTGAGTTCCTGCCTTGCAACAGTTAATTCCTTGACATCAGAATGAACTTGAAGAAGCTCTGCTCGCATAGTCTCAACTCCTCGCAGATCAACTTCTAGTCTTACTGATTTTTCATATAATTCTCTCATCTGAATGTCCCTTTCTGCATGTAAGGAATCAGCAACATGAGCCATGCGTTGCAACTCATGCTGGGCTGCTTCTAGTTCCTGCTTAAGAGCAACATGGGTGGCAGCTAGCCTCTGGTTGTCGAGAAGAAGAGCTTGGATATCCTGATGTTGGGCAGCAAGACGCTCCTCGATCATTGCAGGGTGTGGAGGAAGGGATCCTGGATGCATCCCATACTGTGATTCTCTGATTTCCTCAAGAAGCGCTGGATGTGGCACTGGCCCAAGGCCTCTGCCAAAATGAGGTTCGCGAACAGGTGGTAGTCCACCGTGAGGCACACCATTTAGTGGCATCGGTGGTCCTCGATTTCTTCCAGACATGATCTACGAATGAAAAACCAAAAGAAAATTAATGAAGTATCAAGAAATTAATAGAACTATAAATATATAAAGTGCTCATAGACCACATGTAATCCTGAAAATCAAGCAGACGAAGTACTCAATTCTAACACCCCGAGCAAAAAACAAGTAGCCAACCAACGATTTAAAGAATCTGAAAAACTATGTAAGCCCAAAGAAATCAAATAATTTTTCATTCCAGCAGACATACAATCGCCAGTATGAAAGATTATTTATCAGACCCAATCCCCCATTTATATCGAATCAATAACCAAACCCTTAACGTACGTATCGATAAATCCCAAAACCCAAAAACAAGTTACATTTCAATTTCTCCCCCATTCTAAATATATCTGTAATAGGACTATCATAACCATCAAGAACCCAGCTTTCTGTCTGCTGCGAGGAAAGCCACTCCGTCCAAAGCAATCGGAATGCCATACACCCCCGAAGAATTTGGCAAGCCGAGCTTCCGATCAGCCCAACCATGTAGAATACGAAACTGAAAATTCATTGTTTAACACGAACGGATTTTCATTCTACACGAATACAATGAGCAATGAAACAACACAGCGGGTAGAAATCCAGATACTGACCTTCCCGTAGAGAAGGAATCTGATGGAGAGTGGACAAGTAGGAGGCTATAGGAACTCAGGTAATTGAGAGTTGGGGAATTGTCATCTCATCAATTCGATTGGGTTGAAAATCAAAGAAAAAACAAAACCCTAGAACTGGGTTTCTTTTTGCGCCCTCTTCCTTTTGTTCGTTTTTTACCGCCTGTTTCGACACGAAGAAATCGACTTCGTTCAAAAGCTGACGTAAATGAAGTTTAATAAATAAAATTAGTTAACTTATAAATTTATATTTTTATTTAATAATTCTTCAAATTTGTATTAATAATAAAAAATAAAATTAATTAGTATTTAACAATTTCTCAAACTTTATATATTCAAAATTAATTAATTTTCTATCTAATAAATTTATTATTTTTTAAATACACGAGTTTAAGAGTTTATTTGTTAAATTTTAATTTTTTTTAACTAATTTTTACATAAAATTTAAAATTTTAATAATTTTAACAATCTTCCCCAACTATGCACGGGAAGATGATTATAATGAAGGTTTTGTTCTCCTCTTCAACCTATGTGAGTTTTTGCGATTCATCGTCTCAAGGTCCAACGTCATTAATACAAATATGGTATAAGAGTTAGGGAGAGATTTCTACATCCTTATAAGAAATGTTTTGTTTCCCTCTCCAACTGACGTGAGATCTCACAACAATCTTCCTTGTATTTTTACAAATAGCAAGACGCCATCATCCAACTTTGATATGAACCAAAAGACATCAATCATACAATATAATTTAATGAAGATGTGAAGAAAATATTGTTCAAATTATCAAAAATATTTTCAATTCATGTCACATTGAAAAAGAACGAAATTTCATGTTATAAATTTTTGGTAAATTACAATTTATAGTAATTTAGAGTTATTGTATTTCATTAATATATTTTAAGACATTTTATTTATTTTGGGTTACATTTACATATAATAATACAATATAATGTTACAACTCTTGGAATCTCTTTACTCGTTTCATTATGAGGCGATATATAACCATGTATGTTTTATATGTAAGTAGACTTGAAAATTGCAATAAAATGAGAATTTGTGCTTTCTTTAGCCGATGACTAAGTTTCTTTGTAATTTTATGTAGTTTAGGTTGCATATAGAATCATTCAAGCTTGACAATATCAAATCTTGGTTGTAGAGTGATTCGAATCTCAATCAAGTGTTCTTGCGTTGAGATATTTGATCAACAAGAATCATTCAAGCTGGACATAATCGATCTTACTCATGGAGTGTGATTCGATTTCCAAACAATTTTCTTGCCCTTCAGATATTCGATCAAAAAGGTAATCTGAATCTTACTCTTCTTATAGTGATTCGTTCTTATATCAAACTTGGGTATGAGCCTTCCTACCACTGCCATTGGTTTCACACACCACTCGAGCTCGTTGTCATCATTTATATACCACAAATCGTTGATCACATTCCGTTCATACGTATTCCGTAATGTGCTATGTAATCATAACACAAGAATGGACCATGTTTTTAATGCAACCTTCCAATGTCCGTGAAGCCTCTTAAATACTTGCTTCAGACGGTGAGACATCTCCAACGGCTCAACCCTAGCGGTGGTTCTCACATGGAAAAATACCATACGTACATTCATAATTTAAATAATTTCCAAACGGTTCTTCCTCCTCCCATCTCTAGGAATCCATGGAAGCTCTGTGGAATTTAGAAGACAAATGGAAGCTCTCAACGCAACAAGCCTTCATTCTCTTAACGTGCACGGCGGTCGCCGTCCTAGGGTTTTGCGCGGCGGCGTGGGCGAAACAGAGGAAGTGCGAGAAGACAGAGCGCCGACAGACGAAGGCGGCGGAGAGGTGGTGGTGGAAGGGGGCAGCGGATAGGCGGAAGGTGAGCGGCGGCGGCGGAGAGACGCCAGAGCGGCTGTTGAGCGGCGAAGGAGAAGGGGAAGGGGAAGATTTCGGAAGCCGGAATTCGACGGCGGCGGTGTGGCAACGGCCGATTTTAATGGGGGAAAAGTGTGAGATGCTGAAATACAGTGGGCTTATTCTGTACGACGAAAGGGGAAGGTTGCTGCAGGATCAAATTGCCGCCATGGAAAACGGTTACAAGGTGCTGCTTCGTAAGTTCTTTCGGAGTTTTTCTTAAAATATAAAAAATAAAAATAAAATAAAATAATTTTTACCTTAAAATTATGAATATTAATTTTAACAATTTTTTTTTTATTTGATCAATTGCAACTTAATTTTATTCATTTAATAAAATAAAATATTATAATTTAAGTATTTAAAAACATTTTCTTCTATCAGTTCCATAAATTAATATACTTAATTTACATATAACAATAATCCATGATATATATATATATTAAACTAATAATAAAATATTATAAATCTTATTTAAGTTGAAAATTTAATTTGGTAAATTAAAAAATTCAGAGTTAAAATTGATACCGCCAACAAATTTAATGTCAATTACTATTGAACTATATTGACTTCGTAATGCATTGTATAGGTCGGGTAAACGAGGTTGAAGGATCTACTCTAATGCGCTTCCTCTTTTATGGGAATCTTCAAAAAGAGGTGTAAAGATTATACAAAGGGGTGAGCTTTTCCGATGTAATATCCCTTTCTTCTTTTGGAATCCTTTTTTACACGTTGTCAACTTTTTGTTCGTGTCTCTCGACATTTTTACGTTGCATAAAAGAACTCAGATAGACAGTCGACTAGAAACATCACCTCGACATGAACTAAAAGAATATGGTTTTCAAGCTTATAATAACAACTTGAAACATGAGTTATAGAAACAAAAAGTTCATATTGCTTGTATGATAGACAAATCAATGACCGAGATTTGATCATACAGATCTAACTCGTGAGCCAAACGTTTAAGAACGAGCAACTATGAGCTTTATATTTGATCTGCGCAAGTGGATCGAGTAAGAAATTAGTACACGATCTTGCCAAATACAAACAGCTTGTAATTGAACGAACAAAGTTTTTCAATCACAAGGCTATAAGATATTACAATGTTCTTCACGCTTGAGAATCTTTCGACTGATTGACCGCTAAAAAAACACAAATCAGTCAACTTAACTGGAAAAATGAATGAGAGGCTGATTTTACAACAAATCACACGGCCAGACAACGGTTCGTTGGCTAACGTCGAGTCAAACGACAACGACACGTCAACGATCAACCCTCCGAAATCTGCGATTCCTGTGGTAAACAAAGAAAGTTCGGTTGGTTTTCCTCTCATTTGCCACACTGTGTATATAAAACTAACAACCCAAACCCACCACTGGTAGATATTGTCCGTTTTGGCCTGTTACGTATCGCCATCAACCTCATGGTTTTAAAACGCGTATACTAGGGAGAGGCTTTCTCACCCTTATAAGGAATGTTTTGTTCTACTCTCCAACCAATGTGGGATCTCACAATCCACCCTCCTTGGGGGCCAGCGTCCTCGCTAGCACACCGTTCGATGCCTAGCTCTGATACCATTTGTAACAGCCCACCTAGCTCTGATACCATTTGTAACAGCCCACGTAGATATAGTCTGCTTTGGCCCGCTACCTATCGCCGTCAACCTCACGGTTTTAAAACGCGTCTATTGAGGAGAAGTTTCCACACCCTTATAAGGAATGTTTCGTTCTGCTCTCCAACCAATGTGGGATCTCACAATCCACCCTCCTTGGGGCCCAACGTCCTCGCTAGCACACCGCTCGGTGCCAAGCTCTGATACTATTTGTAACAACTCACGCAGATATAGTCTGCTTTGGCCCGCTATGTAACGCCGTCAACCTCACGGTTTTAAAACGCGTCTATTGAGGAGAAGTTTCCACACCCTTATAAGGAATGTTTCGTTCTCCTCTCCAACCAATGTGGGATCTCACAATCCACCCTCCTTGGGGGCCCAGCGTCCTCGCTAGCACACTGCTCGGTGCCTAGCTCTGATACCATTTGTAACAACCCAAACGGATATAGTCTACTTTGGCCCGCTATGTATCGTCGTCAACCTCACGATTTTAAAACGCGTCTATTGAGGAGAAGTTTCCACACCCTTATAAGGAATGTTTCGTTCTCCTCTCCAACCAATATGGGATCTCACAATCCACCCTCCTTGGGGGCCCACCGTCCTCGCTAGCACACTGCTCGGTGCCTAGCTCTGATACCATTTGTAACAACCCAAACGGATATAGTCTACTTTAGCTCGCTATGTATCGTCGTCAACCTCACGATTTTAAAACGCGTCTATTGAGGAGAAGTTTCCACACCCTTATAAAGAATGTTTCGTTCTCCTCTCCAACCAATGTAGGATCTCACAATCCACCCTCTTTGGAGGTCCAACGTCCTCAGTGCCTAACTCTGATACCATTTGTAACAGTCCAAGCCCACCATAACAGATATAGTCCGCTTTGGCCCATTACGTATCGTCATCAGCCTCACAGTTTTAATACGCATCTACTAGAGAGAGGTTTCCACACCCTTATAAGAAATGTTTCATTCTCCTCTCCAACCGACGTGGGATCTCACAACTAAATCCTTAACCTCTACAGTTAACAAACATAGATGGAAAAGTACACAAAGTTCAAACTCTTACCTCATAATCACCACGTAAATGCGCAATGCACGTATTCAAGCATACGATACAATCAACGGTTCTTGAGCCTCCTCTTTAGCAACACGACTATAGTAAAAATACAACACCAATTGTACAATCCCCAACAAAGCTCCTATCCCATTTGGAGCCTAAGATTCAACAATAAAAACGCACATTCACATCACAAACAAACTCGATCAACTAAAACCGCAACAAACAAAGAAAATAAGCAAGAACAACACTTACATAAACGAACAAGTCGTAATTGAACAATCCATAGAGAAAGAACGATACACTCATAAGGAACGTCGAAAGCGAGAGATAAAACGGCATAAACTCCACACTCTTCGTTCGAATCACCAAATTCTAACACAAACAACAAAAGTAAGCAAACCTCAAAACAACCAACAATGGAAGGTAGAACAGAACACAAGACAAAGATCTAAACTTACAATGATAAACAACGGAGAAGCGAACATCGATACGAGCGATGCACAACTCAAGATCCCGACGACATTCCGACGCAACGGGAGATCAGGTATCTGTAAGCTCCCAGTAACAATAACAACAAAGAAGGCAAACACAGCAAGCAACAATCCAAGCATCTTGATCTGTTAAAAGGGAAAGCTTCATTAAGTAAAAGATCTTTGACAATTGCTAGTTCATATCATGGATGAACAAGTGGCTACCTTCTTGCCCTTTTCAGCATATGTTATGAAGAGGATGATGTAGGCGAGCTGAAAGACAGCGCCGATTGAGTTGACTGTCATGACCATTGTGTTCCTTGGAGAAACGAGGGGCGTGCCATACCATAAGCAAATAAGGCAGTTTAACAAAGCATATATGTATGGCAAACCCGAGAATTGTTCTGTTGTTTTGTTTCTGATAACACGCCGGAATGTATCTCTGCATATTGAGCAACAAAATGGTGAATATAATGGCTTCAAACTCCATGAATTCAGCTACAAATTGTAGTGGAACAGATGGGTGTGACTTACAAGGGTGAGAGGAAGAGCCCAAATGCAAATATGTGGCCTGCAGATGAATAAGCCAATTTAGGGTATGTTTGATGCATCAACAACATGTTCTAATGAGTGCAAACGTTTCGTAGGAATAACTCATAATTTGAACATGTTCTAATAAGTGCAAACATCTCGTAGGAATAACTCTTAATTTGAACTTGGAATCAATGATGGTCACTGTTAGATCTCAAGGAATTAGATAAATCAAGGCTAATTGAATCAATGGGTTTAACACCTAAATGTGATGTCCTCGTCAGTTAGGAGGAGAACGAGACACCCTTTAAAAGGGTGTGGAAACCTCTACCTAGACGTTTTTGAATAAAGGGTTTCAAGAAAAGTAGAGGTTTTTGCATTCTGCCGTTGTTGCTTATCGGCTGCTTATCATTTGATATGATCGGCTGCTTATCATTTGATATGAGAGCATTTAATGGAAGTTCAGCTCTAGAGATGAAATATGTTTAGGTTTATTGGTGAGAATTTGCCTCAAATTTTACAAAGTTTTACAAATCCACCATGTTGGGGCTTATCTATGTTCAAAAGGGTATGGAGAAATGGAAGGAAAAATCCATTTCCACAAGGTTTTACCAAGAAAACGAGCTTCTGCCGCCATCAATGGAGGAATTTAGACCAGAAACAGAGAGAAGGAAGCATACCAGCGACTCCGGCTGCATCCCTGCAGATTGAGAAGATGGAGCCGAGAAGAACCATCTATAATGATTTCAAGCCACGAGAAGACTCTTCGTCTCTTCCGCCGCCGCCGTCAGAAGGAATATAAAAGCACTAAAAACCACCGATTTACAGAGGATTTTGAAATCAAACTGCTGAGGAAGACGATTCTTTGACAGAGACCCAATTCAGAGAGGCGAATAAATGGGGAGGAAATGCTATTTTACGAGGATTTCATTAAGCAATCAAATGGGAAACGCCCCTTTTTATAAACCCAACAAACAGAGAATTAAACAGAGATTAATGTTAAAAAACCAGAGTGGTTATTGGCTGGAAGAGGATTAAACATGGATATTCGGAAGAAAAAAATGGAAAGTTTGTCGGATTGGGACAAGACACTCTCCGTCTTACGTGGAAACTCAACAGCTATAGAAACAGTCGGACAAGTTGTCAAGTTGAGTTAAACAACGTGCACATAAAAGGGTCGGACCCTTCCTTTATTTTGCGCCGTTCATATCACTATTTGGTCTATGAAAATTAGGCCACTCGTTTCAAATGAGAAGTAATGTGATTGAAGTTCTAGCACTACCGACGCATACGACCGTCTAATTCAAAATAATTGAAATTATAGGCTCGAGCTAAGGGCATGTCTGGAAATTGTCTAATTTTAAGTGAAAAACGTCAATCAATTTGTCTCTATATCATAAGTTTAATTGTGATAAATGTTTATCGTTAATGGGTTTTTCAACAATATTTGAATTCTTTTACTGTTCGGAGTGATATTCACATTTTTCCCCTTTTTACGATGCATATTATTATATATTGTATCAATTGAATTAAAGAAGGAAAAAAAAAATGGTGAACGACCACACATGGGACGAGGGAAAATGAAGAGAGAGAAATACAAAAAGAAATAATATTTGAGAGAGTAACGAGTGCCAACGAAGACGCTGGGCCCTGAAGGAGTGGATTGTGAGAACCACGTCTCGATTGGAGAAGGAGGGAAACAAAACATTATTTATAAGAATGTGAAAATCTCTCACTAATAGACACGTTTTAGAAATCTCGAAAGAAAATCTAAAAGAAAAAATCCAAACACGATAATATCTACTGACAGTTGACTTAGATAGTTTACGTAATGTTTTTTTTTTAATTTTAAAATAATAATGCGTATAATTTATTATTACGTCAATATTTGATTTTTTTTTTCATTTTTAGTGGTGTGAGTTTAATAATAATAAATTGTCTAATTAGCTAAAAAACAATTGAAAATTAATTTACACAAATATTAGTCGTATCATATTATTCATTGTTTGGTCATTAATAATCAAATAATTAAATGATTATTTTCCATAGATAATTTATTATATACAAATACCAAAAAAATATTGTTTTTAAATAAATAATAATAATAAACTCAATTTCAAAGATAAATGTTTTTAGAATAAGATATAAAAATAAAAAAAATTTAAAAAATAATTATCTTGAAAACAAAATTATTCCACGTGCCGTGCACGTGTTTTTTGCCAGCACTTAAAAAAAAGACAAATAAGCAAAATCAATCTTTTTCTTAGATATTACATCTAAAATAAAGCGTGTGGACCATTTTTTTTTAAATAAAAAAAAAAATACAAAATAAATAATCCAAAATAATAATAATAATAATAATAAAATGAGAGGAAGAGAGGGGATTGTATAAGAGCCATAATTTATTGTGAATTAATTTATTTTAAAGAAATTTGCACCACTTAATATATTTAACACCTATCAGATAAGATGAGAAGAAATTAGGACTTTTCTATTATTTTTTTTTTTAAATTTTTATTGGCTCAAAATCTTTACAAAATTGCTTTCACCAGCAAAATCACAATTGTCTTTTGCTAATTCTGATGTGAAATAAATATTTAAAATTTCGTAACTTATAATTCTCGTCAACGTTATCTAGGCTGACGTGTATTTAATCATTAATTTAATATTCTTCGGATATTGATGACTTTGTCTTGTTTTTCACTATCTTATTCATCTGCCAATTTTGATATATAATTTGATGGATAAAGACAGTAATCACCCCCTTAAGAGCTAATGATTTGATATAGTACCTCAATGATCGATCAATTTTAAAATAACTGATATTTATTGGTTTTTATTTAATTCTTTTTATTGAAGGTCGTTTGAGTTTTTCCTGAGAGTATGACATGGGTTACTTCAGCGCCGTAGTGTTTGGTACTCGAACATTGGCTCGAGGTATTTTCTCTACCTCTTCTTACCCTGAAAAAACAGGGGCACCTTGCGTCATTGAACCGATAACCATCTTTCGACTAACCTAGCCTCCTCTGTCCCTTGGGACCAATAAAGGGTAGTACATGAATTTTCACCTATTATCTATCAACTACGCCTTTTGGCCTGATCTTAGACCCTGATTCACCCTCTTTGGCCTGATCTTAGACCTTGACTCACCCTCTTTGACCTGATCTTAGACCCCGACTCACCTTCCGTGGATGAACCTCGCAAAAGAACCCTTAAATTTTCGAGGCATTATAAGAAAGGGTCTAAATTGATTTAGAAAATGATAATTGATACAAGTGAGAAGCAACATTTATTTAATTAAAAAAAGAATTATAAATAGAGGAAATGGCAGTTAGGTTTTGAAGAATAAAATAATAGTCCAATTATTAATTTGGATAATTCAAAACGGAGTTTCCGTAATCAAATAAGCCTAAAAAAATCCTAAACGTGAACGCAACGTCTAATTTTGCGTAACTTTCTTTTCAAACAATCTTATTTTGCGTAATATTAGTCTAATCCCTTTTTATTTGTTTTTTCTAATTATTCTAATCAATTATTAGTGAAAAAACAAAAACAAAAATAACATAGGGGTAATTCCGTCTTTTTCTTCTGATTTTTTAGTTCACAACTCGATATGCGAAGAGGTTTACACACCTGTAAAAATTGGTGCACGAACGATTTTAAAAAAGAATCTTAATAAATTGTAGTTGAAAAAGAAAAATAGTTCAAAACTGTGAGATCCCACATCGGAGAACGAGTGCCTACAAAGACACTGGTCCTGAAGGGGGTGAACTGTGAGATCCCACATCGGTTGAAAAGGGGAACGAAACATTTTTATACGGGTATGAAAATTTCTCCCTATCAGACCCGTTTTAAAACCGTTGAGGGGAAGCCTAGTTGAGACATGACTGATCGGGATATTAACGGTTGTTATTACCCGAAAGAATACAATGTTTTGGCCATTATGCACAACAGAGCTTTCATTAGGACAAGGCCATGGCCTCAAAAACAATCAAAAGCCATTGCACAAACTAACAGATCCATCAATCTAACATGATAAAACAAAGCAAAACAATGGAGTGAGTGAGATATTTACATGACACCAGCCACCTATTTGTACATTCAATCGGTCCCGAGCAGAAACGGTATGTAAGGAGCCGAAGACAACGGCCTCGGATCTGATACGAAGAGAAGAATAGTTAAACAGTTGCAAGCAAAAGTAGTAAAAATATGTTCACATACAAACCATACCTTCTAGTTCTAAACGAAGCCAATCTTGTGCGCATATTAAAGCTTGACGAGTATCTGGGCTTAAGGAGCTTCGACAGCGGTCGAGAACTCGACCTCCTGTACTGAATGCCATCTTGGGTCCAATGCTTGACATTGGAGTTCCGATTACATCACGAGCCATCCTGGACAAGATCGGGTACCTCGGCGTGTGGACGTTCCACCAGTTTAGTATGTTGAAATCGCAGTTTCTTGGGAACACTGGTTCCTCTAAATATTTGTCCAAGTCAGACATCACATTTTGACCTTGGGATGTCTCATGAAGGAACTTGTCAAAGCCTTTTAGTCTGTCTCTTGAGTCGTTGCTCGTCCCAGGTAAACCGCTTCCAGGCAAGGCTGAACCTTGATCAACCGATGTAAAGCGGATTGAATATGCATCATAAAGTTCCTTGATACCACTCGAAACTTCCTTGACTCGATCCATGGCCGTGCTACCGTAAATCTGCGAATAGTAGTACTCGACCAGTTTCATTTTGAATCTTGGGTCAAGAACTGCAGCTACTGCCAAAGCTAGACTACATTTTCTCCAATATTTATCAAACTTAGCCTTGATTCTTGATGCAAGGGAGCTGAGAAAATTATCCGAGCTCTTACACCAAGCGATTATTTGAATGTGAACGTCGCAGATCTCGGGAAAGTATATATTTGCAGTCGGAGTTTTGTTGCTCGAGAAGATGTTCATGATTTCGACGAAAAGTTTCAAATAGCCAGCAACATTAGTTGTCCATTCCCACTCCAAAACAGTAAGAGGCGACGCGTAATCAGGATCATGCTCGTGTAGAAGATTAAACGCAGCCTTGTATTCGATGGCGGTCTCGAGCATGAAATATGTCGAGTTCCATTGACCAGGACTGTCAGGGACCAATATCTTCTGGCTGGTGATCCCAACTTGATGAGCCATCTCATTGAACCTCCCTTGAATGACTTGTGAACTTCTGATATATTTAAAACTCGCTCGGATCTTTTGGGTAATCTCTCGCAGCACTTCTATCACGTCTTCAGCGATTGCATTCATGGTATGTGCAGCAGAGCATACATCGAAGAGTCTACCGTTACTCAAAAGAGGCCTTTTCTTCGATATGTGTTCGTTAATTCTTCTGATTATCTCGTCATTGGTCGAAAAATTGTCAAATGTCAGAGCAAATAGCTTACAGTCGATGTCCCAGTCCATCAGGCATTTAATAATCACGTCCGAGAGCATGTCGTCGGTATGAGAAGAATCGAGCGTGATAAAATTCAAAAGCTTCTTCTGTAATTTCCAATCCTCGTTGATATAATGTGCAGTCAAGCATAAATAATCCATATTTTCTGGTGAAGACCACATTTCAACTGAAACATTAATTCTACCCTGCAATCTGTTAATGGTTTCAAAGATCTTCTCTTTTTCCTTCTCATAGATTTCCATACAAGCAAGCTCAATAGTGCTATTGGGTAACACCTCGAACAACGGTTGAACGTTTTTGACGAAAACTTTAAACCCGACATGCTCGACAATAGACAAAGGATAACCGTGCAATATGATCATACGAGCGAGATCATTCCGACTCCGCTCTTGATCGAACTTACTACTTGCAATGGTGACTACTTCATCCCTTCTCTGATCAGGATCATATTTCACAATGGCTGATTTAAACTCATCTTTTCTCTGTCCTTCATCAAAGCTGATATTTGCAAGACCACCTGAACTATCCTTTTTCATTCTCTTGGCTGCAAGCAGTTGCGAAACGTCGTAATTCGATCTTTTCAGACATCGCATCAAGTGATTTCTTAGATGCGTGGTTCCGCTATTACTCGAGCCACTGAGCTTCTTGTTGCAATGCAAACAAACAGCATAGCAAATGTCAGCCTTTCTGACCCTCTCAAAGTGATTCCAAACGACCGATGTCAACCTCTTCGGTTTCTTGATCGACGAGTCGTTAGATATCTCCATTGCATGAGGATGAAATAAACCAAATTCTGTACAAGATATCAACTGCAAAGTCAAAGCAAAAACGATAACAAAGTGAAGGGAAACACGAAACAGTTCTAAGATTTTCTATATTTAGATGGCACAAAAGGGACTAACTTCTCAATCGTTCCATTTACAAAACAATGTAAAGATTACAATTCCTCAGATGATAGTTCATAGAAGAATAGAACACAGATAACAGTGATATACAGAACAAAATTGTAAATAAAGGATTCAAAGAATGGAAGGCAATTCAGCTATGGACTATATGAATAAATGGAATAGAACTTCAAACGACATTTTGAATGCAAGGATGAAACAGTACTTCAGATCTTACAACTCTCCCATTGTTTGGGCCAAACCCTTCAACTCTTCACAACTGTTACGTACTAAAACAATGCCCGAAACAATTGATGGTCAGTTCAGATTAGCTAGAACCCAATGGAAAATGATAATAAGGTTGATGATATAGATGTGCAGGGTCAAATAGTATCTACTGTAAGAGAGATCACGACTAAAAATCCCATGTTGTCCGAGCATTTTCAAGGGGTAAATGAATCAAACAAGACATCAGAAAAATTTCCAGCTGAGATAACGCAAATTCATCTTGAATTCTATCAAAAAACAGAAATTAAAGGAACATAAACGCCATAGATTATATGAAAAGACAGAAACCCAACAAAGAAACCGCATAAAACAGCTGAGTAGGACCAAATTGAATCATAATTCGAAGTGGGTCTTACAAGAAATCGTTGAATTGAAGTTTCTTCTTTCGAAAATGGTGGAGTCGGACTGGATAGTCCGACAGGGTAAGGAGAAATGGATTGTGAGACAAAAAAAGAAAGAATCCCGAACAAGGAGCCAGGGAGAGTGAAACCAAACCAAAATCAAACCGATACGCAACTGGGTTTAGATCCGATAATCCTGAAACCCAAAAGGCTGAATTTCCGCAATTCGGGCGGGTCGACGATCGCGAGAGCGAATCGGCGAATTTTGTAAGCGAAATCAACCCAGATTTTGGATCCGTCGGGATTTTGGGTTTTGGGTTGGTTGGATTCGATGGGGCGGGGTTGATCGCGAGTTATGTGTGGCTCCGGGTTCGAGACGGTGAATCGTACCTAGGAGGTCACGTGTTCGAACTTTTTTCTTTTAGTAATTTCCCTATTTAAAAAAAAAATAAAAAAAAAGAAGGGTTCCGCAAATTTATCCCTTCCCCGGGTTTCTCATTTTCGTATTCACAAAAGGTAGTCTTATCCGCTATCCATAGCAGAAATTCGCTACAATGGCGATGCTCTGTGCTTCCTCTTCTACACCCACTTTCTTTGTACATTCCACTCTTAACAATGGGAGCAAAAGTAACAGAGGCATTCCCAGAAAGTCATTCGTTGATGGGTTTCCACTCCCACAATCAAAATCTTATTTGCTTCCAACTCAGACCACGATTACTCTGAATTCTCAGTCGAAGAGTTCGGGCGTTCAAGTGCGAGCTCAGGAGCTGGATCGTGTCCCTTTAGAACAGCGGTGGATGTTCGAGGGGGACGAACTCGATGGCCCTGTACGTCGGTATATCTTTTAAAATGTTTGTTCGTTTGCGCTAAATCTGGTAGTGGAAATGGTCTTATGGGTTCCAAGCAATCGTGTTCTTTTGGGAGGGGAGTTCAGTTTTTGATTTCTTTGGGGGAGGGGAGCTTTGCTCAGTTCATTCAATTGCATTATTCTGGCTTCCCCACGTTTTATTGTCCCTTTCCATCAAATTAGAGAAGTTATCTTTTAGTTGAATGTCATCAATATCATACCATTGTGGAGAGTCCTGGTTCCTAACATGGTATTAGAGCCATGCCCTTAATTTAGCCATGTCAATACAATCTTCAAATGTCGAACAATGCAGTTGTGAGCCTCGAAGGTGTAGTTAATAGTGACTCAAGTGCTGAACAAAAGGTGTACTTTGAGAGCTTCATAGGCCTCAGGGGAGGCCCTATGGTGTATTTTGTTTTAGGGGAAGATTGTTGAGGATTGTTGGGAAAAAAGTCCCTCATTGGCTAATTAAGGGGTTGATTATGAGTTTATAAGTAAGGAATACATCTCTATTGGTATGAGCCATTTTGGGAAAACCGAAAACAAAACCATAAGAGCTTATGCTTAAAATGGACAATATCATACTATCATGGAGAGTCGTGGTTCCTAACAATTGCCCTAACATTCAAACCTCTTTTTGCTTGTTACGCCAATATGATGTTCATTCCCTGAATTTTGAAGAATTATTTCCTACTTCTGCGAGCTGTTTGTTTATTTCCCCCCAGATTGGATATTCAGCAATCGCTGTTCTTTTCCATTCAGGACATATGGAACAAAACATGGTACCCGAAGGCTGTAGATCATGTGAACACAGAAAAACCTTGGTATGTTGTTGATGCCACTGATAAGATATTGGGAAGATTAGCTTCGACCATTGCCAATCATATCCGAGGGAAGGATTTGCCAACCTACACTCCTAGTGTGGACATGGGGGCTTTTGTGATTGTGGTATGTGGTTGTACTTGTTCATAGTGTTCTATTGTGGCTTTCATAAAAAAAAAGAATGATCTATTGTGCCTGCAATTACCCACCTCGAGCTGTGCATATGCTTTTGTGATATGAAATAAATAAGGTGTCTTAATCATGCTATGGATGACAAGATCTATGTTGTTTAGATTAAGGAGGTTTTGTTGTATTTTTTAAGTTTTAGATAATCGTCTTTAAGATTAGATTATAAGTAACGTTTAGATAGTGACCATTATGATATTGATGGCCTTGAAAAAGTTACAACCGTTCAATTAACCATATGTTACTGTAAGGTTTATTTTGGAGGCTATAAATAGTCATTCATGTTGTTGAGGCTATAAATAGTCATTCATGTTGTTGCTTTAGCAGGAAGATTTTGGATATTAAAATGAAGTTTGCATGGTATACTTCTTAAGCCATGAGCTTGTTCCTTTGCATTTCTCGTGTTTAGACTTGCATGCTAGAGTCGTTCAAGTAGCTTTGATCAAACTATCTTGTGGAATGATTCGAATCATGAGTTTAAAAACGAGTTTTTTTTACTCTTGATCTTGATCATCAAGGTAATCCGTTCCAAAACTTTTCCTTGGGTTGATTCTTATCGTTTTTGGGATTCTTGGATAATTTAGATCTAGAGATCTCGTTCTTTAGCAAGGTTTTTAGATCAAATCCTAAGAGTTTCATATGTTTTGTCTGCTCAGTTTGAACTTTCTTGCTATCTGTTTTCAGTCCTCTCCAATCGAGGTGAGATCTCACACTTTCTTGGTCCTTTCTAGGTAAATGCAGAAAAAGTTGCCGTGTCGGGTAGAAAGAGGACACAAAAACTATACCGGAGGCATTCGGGGCGACCAGGTGGTATGACAGTAGAAACTTTTGACCAGCTACAACAGAGAATTCCTGAAAGAATTATCGAGCATGCTGTTCGTGGTATGCTTCCGAAAGGGAGGGTAAGCGATTCCGACTACTTAGTGTTATATCGACTCTGCAAACGGAATGTTTATGGGTGGTAGAGGGATTGCTAAAGTTTTGGGCAACACTCCATTTAGGAAAATTATGTCAAAAGAGATGCAGCAAGTATAGTTTCTACTTTATTTGGTAGATCTGTTTTGTTAGAAGCTTTAGTTGGTCAGTTAAGATAGCCTTTTGTGTCTTGGTTGCTGTAGACTATTGGTTAGCTATGTTCCATCTTACAGAAGAGTTCCTCGAACTCGTCACCAATGGGTTTATAGCTTCCGATTCCCATATAAGTTGTGCCAATGGTTCTCACGTTCTATAACATAGCATTCTAGAAACAATGTGTGAGATCCCACGTTAGTTGGAGAGGGGAACGAAGCATTCCTCATAAGGGTGTGGAAACCTCTCCCTAGTAGACGCATTTTAAAACCGTGAGGCTGATGGCGATATTTAATGAGTTGCCAAGGCAGACAATATCTACTAGCGGGGGTTTGGACTGTTACACAGAAAGTTCCCGTAAACTGCTAAAAGAATTTCCAATTTGCTTCTATTGACGTTCGTGATATTTTATTGGCTGTTTCAAACCATGACAATTTATGTGCAGCTTGGAAGAGCACTTTTTAACCACCTGAAGGTTTACAAGGGACCAGACCATCCCCATGAGGCACAAAAGCCAGTTGAGCTGCCAATTAGGGACAAAAGGATAAACAAGGAAAGATAGTACAAACGACGAAAACGATGAAGAAACAAAGCTCTCGTCTAAGGTTTCCAATGTTCATAAAGTCGGAGTTAGCATTTTCATGCTTCAGCTTAATTTGATGTCAGTATTTGATCTGTAATTTGATTCCAAATTCTTCCAAGTTATTAACTCGTGATATGAGCAAATTTTTGAATCTTGTCCTGTTTGAAGGTTTGTTGTAATGGTGATTTTCATTAAATTTGTTGATTGATTTCCCTACCAGGAGGAATTTTTCTTGGTGTCAAAGTGGCCAAAAGTTTTGAACGATGGCAACTCAAATGTAACCTAAAAAAGGAACTCTGGATTGGATTCTACCAAATTAAGAAGCCAATAATAAGCATGATGGTTTTTGGAGGATACCACCTGGTAAACAGAGACCAAAAACCATCTTCTTCAGTCTAATCATAGTTGATTCCGGCAGCCAAGAGTTTCCTTGTTGAACCTGTAGCTTGCAGATCATAAGAATACAATCAAGTAGAATCAAGTACAAGACAAACAGTAGAAACTCACGACTATTTTTAGTTGCTAACTTTTTTTTAAATGCAGAGATGAAACTTCCCAAAATAAAAGAAAATTGAAACCTTATTTAAAGTATTACCAATGGAGTTTTAGAATCTGATCTCCACTCAAAAAGATGACGAAGGATTGGTAGATGGCATGTCCATAGACGATGCACTCTTGCTGTGGCAGTCGTTATCAATCATTTTATGGTTCTGCTGCATAAGGCTCCACATTGCGTTGATCTCTTCTCTTAAGTCATTTGGATTTGTGGTCAATTCCTCGACTGCAGCCTTACCTTCCAGCATGCTCACCACCGATGACATGGTTGGTCTCGCCGAAAAAGACACATTGGTGCAGAGGAGAGCAATGTTGATCATAGCCATTGCCTCGCCTGGGTCGAAATTGGAGCCCAACCTTGGATCAACCAGCTCCAATAAGTTGCCTTGGTCTTTCACCACAAGTGCCTGCCAACAAAGCCTGCATAGGTTAGCTGAATTTACCTATCACAACTTCTACTTCAAGAAGTTATATTTGTTAATCTACTCATGATCATACTCATATCAAGTTACCCAATCGAGAAGATAAAGGCACTTCTCCTTTGATCGATATAAGGTGTTGCTCCTTCCACTAACTATTTCTAATGCCACAATACCAAAACTATAAACATCTGCTTTATCAGTTAGGTGGCCTCTTGTTGCATATTCTGGCGCCATGTATCCACTGCATCAAGAAAGGTATTAAGCATAAGTATGAGCTATATATCTTGTAGACAACAACAATTATGGTTAAAAATACCATTTTGATTTCTATAGTTTCAAATGTTCTTTATAGTTAATTTTTTTAAAAAAAAAACATTTAATCATAAGTGACTCACAATGTTCCAGCAATCCGAGTGGTCATGTGGGTATTCTCTTCTTCATCAAGCTTGGCCAAACCAAAGTCAGATATCTTTGGAGTGAGATTTTCATCTAGCAATATATTGGTTCCTTTGATGTCTCGGTGAACAATCTTCAATCCCGACTCCTCATGAAGAAAAGCCAAACCTTTGGCTATACCAATACAAATTTGTAGCCTTGTTGGCCAATTCAATTCTAACTGGCATTCCTTAGGACCTTCAATTTATTAGAAAAGGAGATGATCATTAACGAACTCATTGCATGCAATTACGAATTCTAATGAAAACTAGCTGGAAAAAGTTACCAAATAAGGCCCGAGCGAGGCTATTATTTTGCACATATTCATATACTAGCAAAAGCTGATCTCTTTCAGTGCAACATCCATAAAGCTTTACTAGATATGGATGCTGCAAAGATGATATCGTGCCTATCTCATTCACAAATTCGCGTTTTCCTTGATTTGACTTTGAAGAAAGTTTCTTCACTGCAATCACGGTACCATCCGGGAGAATACCCTGCATTTTGGAAAGAAAATTAACGCCTGCATTTGGTTTTGTAAGTGTTCTACAGAGAAAAAGTCTACAAATGAAGGAAAATAGAGAACTAGTGATACCACCTTGTAAACAGGTCCAAAACCACCTTCCCCTATCTTATTGGAACTGTCAAAGTTATTGGTCGCAGTTGTGATTTGCTTTAAAGTAAACGAACCAATTTGCAGACTCAGACCCTCCCAATCTGCACACAGGGAGCCAAATATTTGAAAGAATACTCAAGTTTATATCTGTTCTCATAATTAAAGTCTCGATAATCATTTAATTTTGGTTAAATAATAAATTTGGTTCATATGACCAGAAAAAAGGTAGACTTTAGTCCCTACTATTAAAAACTAGAATTCATCTATATGGCTTGATAAAACCTTCAAAAGAACTAATTATGAGGATTTTTTCAAACGAGAGACTATTTATGAAGTTTTATCAAACTATATGAATGGAACTGTAATTTTTATCAAACCACTACGCTAAATTCTAATTTTCTTGCAAGTACAGTAGTAAACTTGTGATTTAACTTATTATTTTTCGTTTCTTTGTAAATTTTTTCTTTCTCACAATGGGTTTTGAGAAACATTTGAATTTATAACCAAATTCCAAAAATAAAAATAAGTTTTTTAAAACTATAGTTTTGCGTTTTCAGAATTTGGCTAGAATTTTGAAAACACTAAAATATAGACAAAAAAAAGAAAAAGAAAAAGAAAAGAAAAGAAACACAAACAACAAATAGCAAACGGTAATCAAACCTAAGACAGTTAAACACTCCACATATTTGTCATTGTTTGCATGTTGAACTCAAGATTAAGATAGTTCAAGAACCTCAAATAATCCCAGAAGATAAACCTCACAAACAACATTCACAAGTTTTCCAACAAAAATAAGTAATCTAAATTACCTTTTGGACGTGTAATTTTCCATCCAAGACACCCTCTCCACCATAAAATTCCAAGAACCAAAATTATAAAGAAGGCTTCTGCAGCCAAAATTCCAACGATTGCACCGGCAGAAAGGGGAACATGATCAGCTTCTGATATTGGAGGCTTGGAAGGTGTTGATGGATCCTTGGAGTCTGCATCTAAATGTTTTAAAAAAATGTTAGAACTAAAAGACGAAGGATAATTAAAAAATGAAACGGATTTAATGCAACAATATTGAAAATAGGTGTACGAATTGAATATTGTAATATTTAAGTTCTCACATGTCGAACAAGTGTGGTTCGAGGAAGTGGTCGTTCACTCATTCAAATCCACAATGTGAATAGTAATGGAGCTTTATCAAGCATGCGGTGTACTCCAAAGAATAGGAATTTTCCTCAATAAGAGAAAACGCTTGGTGAAGCTAATTCGAAGGGAGACTTGATAATAGGACCAAAGTCTCATGTAGACTATATAAATGGAAGAATGTCTCTTTTAGCATGAGGTCTTATGTTGAAAATAAAGGGTAAAACCATGAAATCTTATGTCACTAGACAATATATTAGTTTAAAAAATAAAATAAAATATTTGAAAAATTAATAATCTCTCTTTCTAGGGTTTTAATCTTCAAATCACACCAAATTTTCTTAAAATTTTCTATTGATAGAACGCCAGAAAACATGATTATTTTTAATATTCTTAGACGAGGAATTTATTTTGAAATATGAAAATAACTTTCAAAAAAATTTCTAATGGTTTGAGCCACTCAGTTCATATTTACCATAATATATGTGAACTAATAAATTTTACACATTTAAAATACAATAAAAATTATATATCCTTTCGTTGGACCAAAATATAATTTTAAAATAATTTTGGTGGCTCCAAACCTCTCATCTCGAAAAGCACTGTAACAATTATCGCCATAATGTAAAGAAAATTTGGTTACCGGATGTTACTGTAATGGCTGATATTAGAGGTCCGAACACCCCTCTCTCAGGAATGGCATTTGTTCCTTTACCAGCCCAATATAAGTGGATCTCTAAAGTGCCTTCTTTGTTGACTTGAATATCAGTCTCTTCCAAAATATAGCTCTTACCAACACCTCCAGCTTTCATCGTGAGGTTAAAATCTGTTTGAATCAGTTTTCCCTGCACAACAAATTCAATTTGTAAATGGTAATTAAAGTACTCCAAAAGACTTAAAATAAGATGCTGATGAATTATGGGAAATTTAATTATATAAATACTTTAACCTCCAATGCTCACTTGAATTGAGATATCAAATATGCGCCTTCCGGATTCGCTGAAGTCTTGGTGAGCAGTAGTAAACATAATTTCAGCAAAGTGAAGCTTGACATTGTAACTTCCTTTCCTCAAGCAAAATCCATAGTATTTGAGGGAAACAGGAGCAACTCGAGCTGTCTCATAGACACCCGTAGCAGAAATGGGACTGGTGTTTGTGACTGTGTAAGGAAGTCCCTCATTTCCCAAGAAAAGACCAGTAGAGCTGTAACCCCAATTTCCTTTGGAAAAATCGAAGGAGCTGGACTGCGCACTGTTACCCATCGTATCCCCTTCGTATTCATTACCAGTAAAGTTCATGCTTTTTCCTCCACAATTAATGAATAATGAATCATCTACCAACAGTGACCATCGAAACACATTAGGAATCCATACAAATTAAAATAGCTAGGTCAGTCGGGAGTTAAATAAACTACAGTTTCAAAATAAGTAAAAATCCCTTGCTTACATCGAGCTTCTTTAGGGCAAGGGAGATTTTTCCTCAGGCACCAATCATCTCTGCAAATATATCTTACTTTAGAAGTCTACTTGCCACTTATCAGCTTTATTAAAAGAAAATGAAAATTACATTAAACCACCTCTCTTTGTGATTGTCACATTTTATCAAAACTATGTATTTGAAGTGATTTCATTTCTTTCTTAATTAATATTAATTTCCACTTGTTAAATTTTTGCAATTAAGTGTTAGACACAGTTAAATTTACTGTAACCCATCAATTTAGCAGATATAAATCTTTGATCAAAAGAACACAAGTTTGAATCTCCCTACAATGCGTGCATGAGAATCTAGAGATGATTTAACACTCTCAACATATAGGATTGTCCAATCACAATAAAAAGAAATTCTAATCTTATAAAATTGTGACAACTAAGCCCTTCAAAATGTAAATTGCAAGCACCACGAACCTTCAAACTATAAATTTTTTATAATGAAACCCATGTTTTTATATCAAATTCTCAAAAAGAAAATTTCTTAGATTAAGATGACCTTTCCACATCAACCAGGAAACTCTTTTTTTTTTCTTTTTTTCTTTTTTTTTTTAAATATTATAGTTTTCAAATTTTATTAGTTAAACAACTTGAGTTTAATTGTAACCCTTATATAATGGGAAGGTTTGCTTATTATAATCCATGGTGTTCTCTGTATTTTGCGAATTTCGCTAGTTCAAAGAAGGATGGACTAGATTGAAAGTTAAAGGTTGTGATTGTAACAAACAAGTGTGGGTAGGAAAATACTCTTGCTTTTGATTCCCATTCTTTATAGTTGAGTAACTTGACACCAAGTTCCTGTAAAAAAGAATGATATAAAATAAAAATATGAGAGAAAAGACTAAATTCCGAAGTGAAAATTTGATTACACAAATGGTAAATTTAAGGTGGCATACACATCATACTGCCGACAATAGTTGGGAACAGACGACCTTGTAAAATTGTTGTAAGATAAATCTCTGCAAAAGAAAAATTAGATTAGATTGTTTAATAGTTACATAATTTGAAGATAAATAATTTGTGGAACTCAGCATTAAAATTATCATACAAGTATTAATTTATAGACTGACATGTTCCTTCCGGAGGTCATAATCCAATCGGGTACTTGGCCGCTTAACGAGTTATTACCCATAAACCTACATCGATCAAACCCCATGTAATTGACAAAGCAACAAATAAAAATGAATAATAATGTTGTAAGAACATGTGAGTATCAACTTACATGTACTCAGTTGACTGGTGTACTAGCTTTCCAAATGTTTCTGGAATTGGACCGCTTAGTCTGTTGCAGCTTAAATCTCTGTTCATAAATGGAAATTATCACCCATTACTCGATCATATTAACTCATCAAAAGTATTAATTTAGTCCATAATTAATCTCAGCAGCTTACAAAATTTCTAAGTTATTAAACGACTGTCCCATATAGTCAGGAATACGATCGTGGATTAAGCAATTTCTTAGGAAGCTGGGTAAAAAGAAGAAAAGAAAGATGAGATTAACAAAAGGGGTCTAAAACCAATGAATCTAACATGATAACTTGTAAGGCAAGAAATCAACAATCTAGAAATGTTGCATACAGTCGGCGTAAAGATGTCAATTGAGTCAAATCGGGAAAACTTGTTGGCAGTCCCTTCAAATCGGTTATCCCCCTGACGAAGAAGAGAGAAACGATAATTAGTATTAGTTGTTCATATGAATAAAGAGTTTTGATATCAGTAAAATACAACAATAATGTGAATTAATTAATCCTCACAGTTCCTCTAAGCTTTTTAACTTGGATATGGCATCAGGAATAGGGGTTTCCATAGAAGTTCCTTGCATATATCTGCAATATCAGCAGACAATTATGGTTGGACGTAGAATGATACTAAAATAGATGTTATATATTTACTTACAATTTCTTAATGTTGGTCCAATTGCCAATAAATTCAGGAAGCTTTCCCGATACACCATTTCCATCTATCCAACTGCAACAACATGCACAAATAATTCAGAAACCCATCTAAAACCACGCTCTAAAAGCTACACAAAATAGTTCTGGTACATACAAATCAGTCAAATTCCTCAAGTTTCCATAAGATTCTGGAATGGGACCTGTGAAATAATTGGCAGAAAGAAGTCTGCAGATAATAATGAATATGAATTTAGTTAATTAATGGTAGAACCCTAACATGCAAGTAAACGAAGCATAGAAATATTGGGGATTTTACAGCCTTCGCAAACGGCTCAATTTTCCGAGGCTTTCCGGAAGAATTCCTCCAAGCTGATTGTTTTCCAAGACCCTAGAATATTCAGTATTCAATACTCAAACCAAATCTTCATTGTATCATCATAAACTTTTTAACTTAATAACTAATGACACTTAACAGTTCCTCGAGTGAAGCAATATCACCAATTTCTGGAGGAATCTGATCACTCAGTTGATTTCCCGACAATGATCTGAGCACCAAATTGAGAATCAGACTAAAACTAACATACAATTTCACCTCTATACACACACACACACACACACACACATATATATATTTGAATAAAGGAAAACATAAAAACTTACAAATGACGCAGAGGAAGGCGACCAAAGTCCGCAGGGATTGGTCCGGATATGAAATTTCCAGTGAGATCTCTGTATTAGTAAAAATAAAATTCGGATTAAAGCGCAGAATGTTACAATAGTTGAAGAACTGAGAGTGACTTACAAGACTGTGAGGCCACTCAGATTTGCAAATGCCGCGGGAAGATGCCCTCGTAAGTTCTGACGCTTTATCCGGCTGCGCGCGCCCAATCGTAATAAAACGAAATGTTAAATTATTAATTAAAATTAATTATAATCTTTAATTAATACTTCATTTCACTCATTTCTTCGTTAATCAATTGATGATATGTTAAAATATAAATATAAATTCATTAAAATGTTAAACCCAATTGTCACCATTGTCACCAAGAAAGAATCGAACTCAATTGAAAGTTAAGGAATGATTACTCCGATGATCAAGATCAAGCGCAAAAAAAAAAAAAAAAATCATTTCTAAACTCGTGATTCAAATCAAGATTACTTGAATAACTCTAGCATGCAAATCTAAATATAAAAAAAAAAAAAACAAACTTAACTTAAGAAATATAATGTCACTCTCGGTCTTATATCCAAAATCTTCATCCATATGAATGATTTATAGCATTGAAAATAAACTTTATACTAACTTACTTGGTTAATTGTAAGATTGTAACTTTCATGGTCGTCAATACCATAATAACCTTTATAATGCTCTAAAACTTAAAAAATACAATAAAATCTCTTTAAATCCAAATATGTATGGATCTTGTTATCTACGTATGACTAAGACACCTTATTTCGTATCAGGAGAGGATCTTACATGGAGTAGACACTGCAAGAATCAACGGAGCAAGTGCAGCTCACCTCGCTAACGAAACTACTATTAGGGTCGTTGCAAGAATTTTGGTCAACTTTCCACTTTAAGATCTTCAGCTGTGCGGATATGGCTCGAAGGGAACTCACTGTGGCATCCACAACATGTTAGTTTTGAGAATCTAATGAGCTAACACAAACATAAAATTGCTGCGTTACTACCTTCAGGTTCAGGCAGAGGCTGCGCATGGCATCCAAATCCGAAGAACAAGTTGAAAAACAGCAACCCAAGAACAAGAACAAGAACACGAACACGAACACGAAGTGTCGTTAAATCCATGTTCCTTAAAAGACAAAGCCAATGGAAAACAGAGCAAGAAGAAACAGGGCATTCACAAAAGACTCCAATCAAAATATAGAATGATATGAAATGCCAATCTATTACATTAAGTCTTTGTTCTGCCACCGACAGGGCATGCAATGGGTTCCATAGAAAGCTAGACATTTATTCAAATATGTGGATTTTTCTAAAGACTTCACTCCACATTTCTTTCTTGGTCAACGTTGATAAAATTAGTACATTTCTCGATTATTTACACAGACAACCGTGAGATCCTACATCTGCTAGAGAGGGGAACGAAACATTCCTTACATGAGTGTTTTTTCATTTTTGAAATCGTGAGATTGACAGCAATATGTAATGGGCTAAAACGGACAATATCTACTAGTGGTAGACTTGGACTGTTACAAATGGTATCAGAGCCAGATACCGGACGGTGTGCCAGCAAGGACGTTGGTTCTTAATGGGGTGGATTTTGAGATCCCAAATCGATTGGATAGGGGAACAAAACATTCCTTACATGGGTGTTTTTCATTTTTGAAATCGTGAGATTGACAGCAATATGTAATGGGCTAAAACGGACAATATCTACTAGTGGTAGACTTGGACTGTTACAAATGGTATCAGAGCCAGATACCGGACGGTGTGCCAGCAAGGACGTTGGTTCTTAATGGGGTGGATTTTGAGATCCCAAATCGATTGGATAGGGGAACAAAACATTCCTTACATGGGTGTTTTTCATTTTTGAAATCGTGAGATTGACAGCAATATGTAATGGGCTAAAACGGACAATATCTACTAGTGGTAGACTTGGACTGTTACAAATGGTATCAGAGCCAGATACCGGACGGTGTGCCAGCAAGGACGTTGGCTCTTAATGGGGTGGATTTTGAGATCCCAAATCGATTGGATAGGGGAACAAAACATTCCTTACATGGGTGTTTTTCATGTTTTAAAACTGTGAGGTTGACGTCGATACGTAACGGGTCAAAGCGGACAATATCTACTTGTAGTGGACTTGGGCTATTACAATAACTATCTAATCTTACTACATTTTGGTTGTCTAAAAAATTCTAAAACGCGAGAGTCTGGGGTTTAGGGTTGGTAGGTGGGAAAACTAGATATTTGCGCGTATGGAGTGGTGTTATGAACAACGGATTTGAACGATTTTTAAAGGCCGTTCATAAAGATCTACGTTTGTGTATAATAATACGAACATAGATAGGCTTAGTGTCTCCATACTAAGGAAAGCAAAGGCAAAGACCCAAACGTCTGAAAAGTAAACAAAAGTATGTCACCATCCCTAGAGCCCACACACTTAATGGCATACATATCCCACATGTGGTAGCCCCCTTTACACAACCCTCAATTATCACTTGAAAAACCAACGCGGTCAACGGGTTAGATTGGATACATGAATAATCATATAATCGTATTCGAATGAGAGGTCCAACTTCCCACAAGATTATAATTAAAGTTCGTTCCATGGTCTCCCAAGAGTCCACAGTTATTTGAATTTCAATCTAAATTTTCATTTAAACAATGGAAAACAATAGGAACATTTAAATCTCTGATCTCGAAGAATAGAGTACTAAGTCGTCAATTACGAACGACTCAGCTGAAAAAAGAATCGGTTAACAAAGAAAGAGCAAAGAATCATAACAGTACACTAGTTCCTATCATCCGTATCATCCAATCATTTAGAATCCAAGATGATGTTATGATAATCACTGTCAGTATTTGAAGAATCAGTCCATGGTCCATCCTTCAACATACTTTGTGTCTCGCTCTCGCACGTCATCATGCTTTGTATCTCGCTCTCGCTCGTCGTTTGCCCTTTCTTGCCGTACAGTTTGCTCAACACTGCATTCACATCTTGCTTTGAGATAGTAGGATCTGAAACCACCTCCTCCATAGCAACCTTCCCTTCCAGCATGCTCACTACTAGTGACATCGAGGGTCTGTCTGCAGCATTGATGTTCGTGCATTGGATAGCAATGTTGATCATCGTCATTGCCTCGCTCTCGTTGAATTCGGAGCCTAACCGTGGATCAACAAGCTCTAGTAAATTGCCTCCCTCTTTTAAAATGTAAGCCTGAGAACAGAGGGATACAAATGACTTCTGTCTGCTAGCACTGATATAACAAGTTTCATTTACTAGTATAAAGACCAACCAATCAGCTTAATCTAAACTTAGGAAATATACATAGAATGCAACTGAGTTGCCTTGTCAGATCCCACGTCGGTCGTGGGGAGGAGAATGAAACATTTTTTATAAGGGGAAGCTCGAAAAAGAAAGCCGAAAGAGGACAATATCTGTTAGCAGTGGGCTTAGGCTGTTACATGCCTATTTCAAACTCACGCCCCGCATATAGGATCATACCTTTCCTGGAAACTTCTGGCAAAATAAAGTATTATAGAACACAATAATATGCACGAAGGACTAGATGATGGAGCAACTCACATAGTCAAGAAGGTATAAGCAATCATCCTTGAATCCAAAACTTGTGTTGCTTCGACCACCGACTATTTCCAATGCCACCACACCGAAGCTGTAAACATCTACTTTGTCAGTTAAGTAGCCTCGCATAGCGTATTCTGGTGCCATATATCCACTGCAAAATAATGGTGTGGCGGTGTGAATATTTCGATAGTAGTACATTCGTCAAATAAATTAAATCGATTTTATGTGATAACATCTAGGTTGTCCCAACATTCCCCCGAGTAATCAGTCAAACTTGAAACTTTCTCCTCATCATGTCTCTATGTAGTCAAAGCATAGGAAGAAAAATTTCCCAATGCGTTAACTCACTAGGTTCCGGCAACCCGTGTGCTGATGTGTGTATTTCCTTCTTCATCCAGCCTGGCCAAACCAAAGTCGGAAATCTTGGGGTTTAGATTTTTATCGAGAAGAACATTGGTAGCTTTGATGTCTCGGTGAACGATCTTTAGTCTCGACTCGTCATGAAGATATGCTAAACCTTTAGCAATACCAATACATATCTTCTGCCTAGTTGGCCAATCCAAGTTCAGTTGATATTCTTCAGGTCCTACAATATACCAAATTTGCAGAGATGTTTATTACATCCATTAATATCATCTATCAATATATTAAAAAATGTTCTAAAGATCAATAGCAGTTAAAGATGGTAAGGAAATGTTTTTACCGAATAAGGCACGAGCAAGGCTATTATTTTCCAGATACTCATATATTAGCAAGAGTTGATCTCCTTCAATGCAGCATCCATAAAGCTTCACTAGATGAGGGTGCTGCAACGCAGATATCATGCCTATCTCATTCAAAAATTCTCGATTTCCTTGTTTCGATTTCGAAGAAAGTTGTTTCACTGCAATTACACTGCCATCGGCAAGAACGCCCTGCAATTCCGAAGACAGAACTTCACCCCAAAAATATAAAAAAGTACGACAGAAGAGATGAAATAATGAAATCCAAACGACAGTAACACCTTGTAAACAGGACCAAAACCGCCTTCTCCGATCTTATCGGCAGCATCAAAATTGTTAGTGGCAGCTTTGATTTGTCTTAATGAAAATGAACTTGTTCCTAGATCTATGTCTTTCAACTCTGCAAAATAAGCATATTTAAGCGAAAAAGAATTAGTTCTCCGTAACTCCTTCGCTTACCTTGTACGCACAGAGTACATGTATGTGATGCCATTAACATCCAAAATTTTGCAAACATAGCTTAGAACACAGACAGGTTGAAAAAGTGAGAGAGAGTGGTATCGCTATGTCCAGTTAATAACAATAAGAAATCTGACAAACCATGCATGCTTTGAGAGTACCTTGTTCAAGTGTGCTTTTCTTTATTTGGCTGCCTCTCCACCGCGAGACTCCAAAAACCAAGATGATAATAAAGACCACAGCAGCCATAATTCCATTCAATGTACTGGCAGATATGACATTTCCACCCATTGATGGTGGCTCAAAGTCTGCTTGGAGTCAAGAGAACAATAATTGCATTGAACATATCGTTTAATAAGGTTGCAGACTATATAAATAACCAAAATGTGTCATCAAATATAAGGTAGATGAAAAGCTCTAATGATCTTGAATTGAAATAATGGGTCTACCTACCAGGATCAACAGAAATGGCTGAAATTAGAGGACCATAAATTCCTCTCATAGGGACTGAATTTGTCCCCTTCCCAGCCCAAAATAGGCGAATCTCTATAGAACCATTAGTTACAGAAACAGTGAATTTCTGTACGAAAGGTTTGCCAACGCCACCTGCTGCATCTGCAATATTAAAATCCTTCACCTCCAGCTTTCCCTGCAATATTGGAGATAGTTCAAGAACTTTCAAGGTAACGACGTATTGGGTAAGTTCGGTACCAACATAAGCTAGTAATGTAGAAAATATATACAAAGATATCTTGAAATAGGCAAAGTACCAGATAATTTCTTCAAGAGTAGAAGTGAAGTATCTATTTACCTGAATGTAGATATCAAATAAGCGTCTGCCAAGGCTTTTGTATGTCTTGTCATCAGAAAACTCTATCTCAGCAAAATGGAGGCTTACCGTGTAGTTTCCATTACCCATGCAATATGCATAATAAGTAAGAGAGATTGGAGAAATTCGTGCACTCTTGTACAATTCAAGATTTGGCATAGGGAGAGAAGGTGGACTTAATGTAATGTAGTCGTCTGTTGAGCGATCATCGTCCATAAAACTACCAGTGTTGCTAAATCCCCAATTTTCTCCACCTTGAAAAAACAAGGATGATTTTCCAGTGTTTGTGTCGGCATCATACTTGATTGTTCTGTTAACTAAATCTTCCTTCCCACCGCAATTGATATAGAGTGAATACCAAGCTGCAAGAACAACGCCATATTGGTTTCTATTGAAAGATAAATCAAATGAACAGAACTGAATGATGTATTCTTGCAGAGTTGTAATTAAACATAATCAATGCCACTACTAAATAGCTACATCAGATTCAATTAGATGTGAAATCTTATTAGGCAATGATTTAGTTTTCAATGTTTGAAAACCTGATCTTGGATGCATTCTTCCATCTTTTGCATTTCCACATAAAATCCATCAAATGTAAGTTCTAATATTTACCATTTTTACCATTTTTCCATTCCCTCGTACAATAAAAAATAAATAATTAGAAAAAGTTATGAGACCAAAATTTCAACTCACTTTTTGGACAAGTGCCCGCTAAACATGAAACTGTTCCACTGCTAAAACCATAAGAAGCCCAGTGGTTATTAGAATATTAGAGAATTCAAGCAACTAGCCAACTCAAAGATTAGAGAAGAACTTACGAATTATTATCCTCTGACGAGCTCGCAAACAGGTTTCTGCACAGGGAAAAAAGAGATTGGATAAACTATTTCTCATTAGTTACAAACAAGTTGTACAAGAATAGAAGCATACTCACATACTTCGTGCTTCACAACCAATGTCCTGAAAATTTGTATGAGTAAATTTGTTATAAGAGAGATCACTGTAAAAAAGAACAACAATGAGATTTATAATCTTCCAGATAGCTAAAACTTGTCAAATCCCTCCATACTAAGAAGAAAAATAAAAACAAACATAGGAGTGCTAATCAGAGCCATAAACCATATTTAACTCTTGAACTGTTAACGTCTTTTTTTCCCTCGTATAAAGACCAGTGTAAAAAGATATTAATTGTTCTCTCTCTCTCTGTGAATACTTTTCCCTTTATTTTGAAATCTCAGTCAATTTATTTTGGAATTTTAGCACCTCTATACCAAGATATTTAACCAGAACATAGAATTTGGAAATTAAACTTGCATGTTTTCTCCTTCCTCCAGCATCCAAGAAGGCACCGCTCCGTTTAGCAAGTTTCCAGCTAAATATCTGACCAAGGAAATATTAGTGCAATTAATGAGCTTTTGATAACAAGGAATAAGGTTTTTGTGATTTTTTTAACAAAAAGAAGACACTAATGATATTATCATGAATATGCTACCAGACAATCCAGTCAACATTTGACGCTACATAATTCTTTTTAAAAAGTCTATGCCCACCTTAAGGCCTAGACTTTGGAGATATTAAAGATTTTTCTAATTAAGCTCACCTGAATATTCAAACACACAACCTCTACACAGGTGTTATACAAAGACCATAGGATAAAAGATGATTATCAACAACAGCGACTTTCTAAAATACGCAGATTATACTTTTGTTTTTATACAACGCAAACCACTCATACCCTGTATTTCATTTAGATGAATACAAACTCTAGGATAAACCTTCAACAAGAGAAACGATACACATACATTCTTCACTCGAAAGGCATGACCAAGCCACCCTTTTCAAGAGTTTTTAAGTTCCAGCTTCTGTAAGCTATAACATGACTTTGTCCCATGCTAGTGGACATGAGTTCATACAGCTTTTATACACTATTGGAAAATAACATTAGAACTGGACATTCCTATATCAGCTTTGGCTCTCTGGAAGTTCATATAAAACATAATCCTTTATTCTTTAAGTATCAGAACTACTATTATTGACTCATATTCACGCAATTTACACAGAAAAAAACAAGTTCAAATCCAGGCCATTATTCATAGCAATACAGTAAATTAGAAGGTTAAAATTCATATAATTGTCATGTTAATTTTCTGCATAACTCTTTTTGAAAAGAAATTAATTTCAGCCATTGATCAGGATTGACATATCCCTGGAATGCGACTACCAGCAGTTGAGGTATAGAATTTCAAGTTTTCTGATTATATTACTTACATTCTATCCACTTTTTTCAAAGCTTCAAAGCCGGCAGGTATTGGTCCAGTAATCTTGTTGAAGCTTAAGTCTCTGCAAAAGAAATTGAGCAAAATAATAAGAAAATAGTATAGTCAAATAATAGAAAATTTGGTCCCAGCAGGCATTAAAATCTGGATCCTGGATAGTGTAAGAATGGCATACGGAAACTTTACCAAGGAAAAATAGGAAAATTTTCATTCAACATTTTATGTAAAGTCAAGTGATTGCTATTGCTTATTAAATATCAAATTTTAACACTATTCGAATTTTATCTTTCAACGGATACATTAGAATCAAGTGGTTATATTTATATTGGATTTTTTTTTTTTGGGGGGGGGGGGGGGGGGG